CAATTCAGTATATATAGAACGTTGAGTGGATAAGTACGCAGAAGCAAATAAAAATGGTCATGTGCTGGCATGGAGTTACGAGGACGGGGTGGTTGGGACGGGTTGGCAAGTGTGAGGACCAATTCATGGCCGGTAAGATAGAAGTCAAGCATGTAAATAAGTACGTGATAAAGAAATAGGACAGCGTGGCGTCTGCAATAGAATGGGGATAAGGATTTGGTTGGAAGCACGGTAATGACTTAAACGACATACAGGACCGAGATAGACAAGAATATGTAGACGAGGCGAAATTTTCGTGTCTAAACAGAATTAATAGGAGAAATAATGGAGAAGAGTGTAAAGCGCGTTTACGAGCTGTAATGAGGATATGTGGAGGCGTATTAAAACCACTTGGGTTAAATTAAATGACCGCTTAAGATCGCGAAATATGTATTAATATGTTGAGGCTGTGAAGAAAAAAATTGAAATCGTGATGAGTGGTTAGACGGTGTGAGAAACGGAATTCAAATAAGTAAGGAGTATGGTTACGGGTTTAAGAAAGAGACCACATATATTGCGAGAATGCCTCATTATGAACGAAATACATTTGTAAAAAAATATTCTTGTAACAAAATTGAAGACGCAATAAGATGGTTCAACAAGACAGCAGACATGCAACAGTGACGTGGACAGGCGAGACTACGTTGTGTTGAGGAGCAGAAATGAGAAATAGAGCTATGTATCCCTAACCCAACGCAGTCTGAACTCCACTCCATCCCAAACCAAACCCACCACTCCAAAGCGTCTTTGATTGAACCGTTTTTCCGGACGCCTCAACGGTTTTTCCCGTTAGTTCCGTAAGTGTAGTGAATGTTTTTATCATGAGAGGTGGTGGTGACCTTCCCCCGCTGGATGGCAAGATTCAGTGTCGCCCTGCACGTCAGCTTACTGAGTGCCAATCACACATCTCCCACCAGCGCACCCCCACTCCGGCCGGGACAAGCTCTAAGATCTCGATTACTCTTTAGACACGTGGTAGTGCAGGTCATCTAAGTATAAATGAATGTAAGTAAGGTGTGAGGATAGAACAAGGAAGAGGAAGGAAACTTCGTTTGCGGTACGTGGCCGATTTGTTAGGGTAGTGCTTCAGAATTCATCTGGTGTTGATCAGAGAAATCACGGTAAACTACCGATCAGAGCAGTCGACAGCTCAAATTTCTCCGCCAGATACCGATTGAACTCAACCTAGCTGACAAACTAGTGTCGAAAACCCTGCCATCGCCTGGACTCGAATTTAGGGTATTGCTTCGGTATTTTCCTGGTGTTGATCGGAGAAACCACAGAAAATACCGATAAAAGCAACCGGACGCTAATTCTCCTCCAGACGGCGACTGAACGCGACTCAGCTATCTTGCTAGAGTCGAAAATCCTACCACTCGATCATTAGGACCTCACGGTCTGAGGCCCTGCTGTGGCGTGCTCCATCACGATCCGGACCCAATCTCTCTGGAAGCAGACTCCACTTGCCGCTCGCCCCGTGCACCCCCATGCATCCCCACGCTTCTCAAATGCGCTCTTCCTTTTGCAACGCCCTGCGAGAGACGCCTTTTCACCTCCCCGACACCTGGAAGCCCGGAGGCGAGCCGTATTTTTGGTCCGATATTTAATTTTTATATTTGAATTTTCTTGACAGTGTGCTTCGAAAGAAAGCTACATTCTTGCGATAATTAAACTACAAAAAAAAAGAAGAAAAAAAAATTTCACGAATTGCTGAATCATCATAGGATAATAAAAAGTTAATTAAAAAACGAACAAAAGATTAACGGTTAAATTTGCATGACTAAATAGATTCGCGAAGCAAAGGAAAACCGAAGCTTTCATAACACACAGACAGACGAAAGGACGAACAGGTGGACGGACGTTAAAAATCCTCTTTTTCGGTACCAGTTCACTCCAAGCGTATACTTCCGTTAACAATTCGAAAATCGCAGTGCTTCGAGTAAAGCCAGATCGGCCGGGGAGTATTGAGTTTGGGAAAACATTATACGCATAGTTTAGGAGGCTAGTATTGTTCACAGACGACAAACAGACAAACGAAAGTTTTGAAAAAATACAACAACACATTTTTGTGTATCAGCCGCCCCTAAAACGTGTTTTTACATTGGAATCTCGAAATAAACTTTCCGCTGTAATTACGACACTTTCTCTGTACTGTGTATACTATTCCGTATATACATGTACGTACGTATTCGAAAGTAAAAGGTATTATACAAGTAAGTCAGCAAAAAAAGTTACATGAGTCACGTCCACATGAAAATTATATGACACTTTGCGTTTGTTACCACACGATGTAAAATATATGGTATCGTGTGTTGCCTGTTAATCTCCATACCGACCTGTCAGCGAAGGAGAGAACTCTCTTCAGTCACGAGTTGCGCTACAAAATGTAAATGGTTCGTTCTTTATTAATATGGACGCCCCACATTGATGTGCGTGTAGTATGTTTGGTGATGTTTACTGCGACGCTGTCAGTCACACTCGTGTCTTTTTCAGAAGGATATCCACACATGACTTTTTCAAATGTGGATGAGTTTAACCGAGTAAAAACTACCGGCAAATTCATGGGAGTCGCCGCAACACCAAACACTCTGATGCACTCTTTGACATGTAGAGCATCATAGACACACCGTGAAAAGAAGTAATGCATTATCAGATCGTTTTTGGTGTAATGTTTTAGTTTGGAATGTATTCTTCTCTTCCTCTCTATCGTATAAATGAAACAAAGACGCGTATAAACCATGAGACATTCCAGATGTGAATAAAGAGATCACTAAATGTCTTTTTTATAATTGTCTTTAATAAATATTAAAATATGTTCCTTTTTAAATTAACATGACATTTTTTTTATACATAACGTTTATTCCGTTTTAGTCATTAGAAGTAGGAAAGAGTTCAGAGTCTACACTAAATACCGGAATACTGTTAAAATTTGATAAGAAATCAATAATTGAAAATGCATATCGAAAGAACGAATTTAAAAAAAACAACGGAAGATTAGTGACGAACGAAAGACACTTATTCTAAATTGGTATTCTAATTCTGTCACATTGACTAAGATAACAAAAACAAAAGAAGAAAACGGTATTTACAATGGTTGATCTCACTTTACATATGATTCTAATTTGAAATAACAGAGATATTAATTAAATAATCATGACAAAAATATTTCATAAGATTTCAAATTCTATATATTTTTATTAAATATACATGTAAAAAACACTATAATTTTGGGCGATTAGGAGCTACGATATCCACACCTTCAATAGAAATTCTCCCAGGGCGAGATGTAATATTGCTTGGGGAGGTGTACAAAGCATGTAGAGGTTGGAGAAATACTGAGCCGACCACGCGAATACGGCCTGGACAGTCGCTCACCCCCCCCCGTCATGGCCGCACCTCTAATTGACCTCAGCGCCCGGTGCGTCAACAGGCGCGCATGTTGACTGACGTCGTTTGCCGCAAATCCTAAACAAGACACGGGTCGATAAAATTGTTTTGATTGAACGCTTTTACACGTAATCCCTCATCAGCACCACAGTTCACGTTGAAACATGGCTAGAAAGCCTCATCGTGGATAATACCTTGTCGTGTCACGATCGGTTTAATGATGAAATATGTTCGGTTATAATTTAATTTTACTATTGTTCTTTCGTCGAGGAAAAAAACAACAAACGATTCCCTTATTTTATTATTTTCCACGAATGCGCTCGGTGATGTGTTTTTTGCTGATTTCAGGAAGCGTTCTTGGGTCTCTGTTGAAGGGGAAATAAACATTAATTGCTTTTCACACAGCGAGAGACTTTTCTAAACCAGCGAGCTCCCGGGCGCGCAAACAGGAAAAGAACAAACACAAATAAAGTAACAGGGTAGCTGCCTGCGCGGGTGCGTGGTCGGCGCGGCAACGGCGGCGGCGGCTGCGTTGCCGTCCATAAAGACAAAAGAGGGGCGCTTCGCGCGACGCGAGTCACGTGATTGCAGCGCGACGGGCCAAAGGAGCAAAGGGGAACCACCGACGGAGGTGCTGCGGAGGCGGCCGGCGGCGGCGGCGGCGGCTAGTGGGAGCAGGGCGCTGGAGGAAATTCATCAGCTCACAAAGCGGACCCGAAATTTTCGTCGGTACCCAAAGGCTGCCGTTATTACATCCTGCGGGAGCCGGCGAGTTCACGGAACGCTACCCCGAACCCGCGGCGTGTGCCCGCTGGGTGGACGAGCAGGGCGGGGGACGGGGTGTTGAGGTCGGAGACGAGCTCGGATGCGCACGCTGTGACCGGTCGCCTGAAGCCGAGGCCTGGACGAGGGCGCGGGTGGGGTGAGGTTTGAAATGGGAAGGGGTTGTCGTTAATGCAAGGCTGACTTGTCATGTGAACACATTTTATCAAACCGCGAGCTTCAAACTAATGCACTGATGAATGATTTCCTTACGGAAAAAAGGACAATAAAAAACTTTTTTTTATCTACGTTGGACATGTAAATGCCTACTGTAGTAAAGGTTAATAATTAGAAATAAATAGTACAATAAGATTTGTCCTATGAAAAAATCTAAAATCGTCATTTACTTACCATAAATTCAATACTATAAATGAAAACCTGATTATAATGGAAGTTAAATGAATTTAAGAAATGTCTATTGTAGTATATTTAAGAAATTAATAATTTTTTTGAAATATACGATTACTAAAGTGGTCATCTTGTATTAGAAAGAATGAATTTGTTAATTTTATTTTAAATACCAACTTCAGAGTGAAATAAAAAGCGAGGTTACTAGCGTTTTTACATTGTGAAATCATTAATCAAGTGTATGATTCTCGTAAAAATATTTTATTCAAAACTTTCGCCATTGTTTCTTCTTCTCTTCATTGTTTGGTTTATTTTTTCTTGCTGACTCGTCTGAGCGGTAATAGGCTCTAAGAGTAAAAAAATATCCGGTCACGGAAAATAATGTAAAACTTGTCTGATTGCAGATTCGCTTCTTCACTGTTCAGTTGAACGCGCAGAAACTTGGTTTCACCGCATGCGGATTCTTCCCCATCAACTTCTCTCTTCTCCACTCGGTAGGTAGAGAGGCATCACCTCACCAGCATAGTAACTTTGTGAATTTGCATGTCATTTTTATGTTCAATTCACTTTTATATTTATAATTTTATTAATAAGTAGTATCAGTTTCTATATTGCCCCAATGAAGATGGCATTAAGCTTAGAGGCAGAAGAAGAAAAACTTTCTGAATTAGTTTTTTGTCACAATGATGAAGGAAATAATTCTACATATGTTGTACGATTTAATAAGATAATGAAAATCGACAGTTTACCTTTTAACGAAGGATTTGTTATCTATACAAAAACGTATCATTTTTATAGGTACAGAAGTGTGGTTTGGGGGAATAATTTAAAATGCAAATATTTGACTATCGGAGATGAGCATTGGAATAAATTCTTTCAGCATCAATTCTTTTATGACAAATAAGAAATTAAGAAGTGCATGTTAGTATTGTGTTTGAATGGAGCGAAGTGTTGAAAAAACGTATTTCATGCAGATAAGTTAGTTCTGTTGAACGATAATTAATTTGTATTAATTTACTTAATATTTTCTCGCACGTATAATTTAAAACTGAATTAATTTGAATGCTGAAAATGTACTGATTTTCTTGTGATGTTTTGTAATACGACTTTTAAATATTCTTAATTAAATGTTGGAGCTACACACTAAATTTAATTCTCATTTTGTCGACGGAATTAAAAAAATATTTATTTCTTTGAGGCCCAATAACTTCTATATAAATGAATTGATACAGATGAATAGAGAACCTATTTTTCTCATAAAACTCATAAACCTTTCAAAATAAAAGCAAAATAAAATGTTGGCCGAAACTGAAAAAACTATATTTCAGTGACGTTTTTTTGTCATTGATAAGTCACATTTTTACTATCGTAACCGTTTGTGTACTGAGGATGATCCATTTCCTGGAAGAGCTATAACGCGTCGTAGGCGAGCCCAGAGTGCACGCGAAGCAAATCTTGACTCTGGCTGAGCAAGACGGTGGGGCTGTGTCAAGGGTGCCTCTGGACTGGCTTGCTGATACGTGCGCTCCGGACGTGTTTGCCGTCATCCATGACGAGCGACGTATGAGGAACGAATCTAGCGTCGGGGCACCTGAGTGATGCACCCACGGGCATCCATATCCCTCCCGCACGCCTCCAAGAAGGGCACGCCCTATATGTGTGCACCTGCGTGCGTGTTTGTGAGTGACTGTCTGGGGCGTTGATGTACATGTTTCTCCGTTCAATGGAATCTATCATCCAGTGAGAAGCGAAAACGTACTCTCGATGTACTATTTACCGCCTGAAATCTCGTGATATCTCGTTGTTAAGTATTTTTCCACAATCTGTATGGGATGTGACTTCAAACTGCTTGCGACACATGTTGCGACTTCAAACAACTTAACTGAAGTGTATACATGTATTATTTTCACTATTAAACATTAAAGAGTTGCTTGCATTTATACCGTTAGACGTCACATTTTCTCGCACAACATTTTAAGCTCTTTTCATAGAAAATACTTTCATGTTCCGAGGGAACATTCCTATTTTGTGAAACATTATTTTGAAACAGTGTAGCCAGGATTTCAATCCGCGGGTGTAAAATAAAAATAAAAATAATGATATAATAATAATAATATTAATAATAATAATAATTATTATTATTATCTCATAAGTAGCATAAAATAATAAATAATACAATCAATAAGTAACAGTAAAATATTAATTTAAATTTACAATATGAGTTGATTTCGAAATAAAAAATATTATTTCAGTAAATGCAGAAGACCTTTCTTTATAATTCCTGAAAATCTTAGTGTTCTAAATGTAAGATGAAAAAAGGTACAGACGTTTCAGAAAAATAAATTACCAAAAAAATATTTTTTGACTGCAAAATAGTTTCGTATTTTCTTAAGAATCATAACTTACGCTCCAACTATTTCTCGCATGTTTCCACAAGTTCTCGACTTTTTCCCTTATATGCTCCCCATTGGTTCATCTTATGTTCCCCCAAATGCCAATCTGGAAATTCAAACATTTATAGAAATTGTCTACTTATAGAAAAAAGTAAATGAATTGAAAAAATAATGACATAAACTGCTCATTCATTTCAAATATTCTCACTGAGATACTTTGAGGTACGATCCAAACCTTTCTTGTGAAACCCGCAGAAGACAATTTCAAAGAAAGGAACAGAAAAATATACAGAAGAAATATCATAAGGTGAATTGTTCTTAGCAATTATGTTGTTTATTCATGTAGATTGTAGGTGCAATGGCCACCTACTTGGTGATTCTGGTGCAGTTCGACCCGGAAGTGGCCGTATCTGACAACGTGGCCTCCAGCGCTTACGGCAAAGGAAAAGGCCGGAGAAGAGAGGGCAGAACTTCAACCACTAATGTGTGGAGTACAACAACGCCAAAAACCACAAGTACATTAGGACCGTAGGATTAGTGCGAAGGTAAGGATTGTCTCTTTCTGCTGTGGCGACTAAAATAGTGTATTTTGTAAAGCGCCAACTGGGGATTTAAATTGTTTTTTATTTTCATTACCGAGGTAAAACTTATAACATAATACCATACATATATAGTTTTTGCATAAAAAGAAAAGCGAGTATTCAAGCTACTTTGGAAGAACATTTTTTCTTTGTTTTGCAAGAACAAACATTTCTTTACATCGTTTACGTAAGAAGAGATAGTTGTAAAGTAGAGTTTATTAGGTTAATTAATATAAGTCTTAATTTGTTGAGTAGGTAGAATATACGTACCACAAAACTGTTTTGGATTTTAATTCTATTTTCAATTTTTGTCTTAAATTTTAAGCAACCATAAACCCTGACAAGTCGGAAATTTATTGAATCTTCGGAAAACCTATAAGAATTCAAGAGATTTAATTTTTTGAAAAAGTTATGAAAATGGTAATCTTTCTATAGTTAACTGTGAGACAAAAGTTTTAAGACATCAAACTTTTATTTAAGAAATGAACACGATTTGCAGTTTGTGTAAGGTAAGTTACAATAATAACATTATTGTAACAGAAATTATAAAATAGGAAATATTAAATAAAACATAATGAGATATTTCTTACATTTATTGCATACAAACATCGCTATGAGATTACTATTAATATTTTTTAACATATCGATATATTTTTTTGAATATGTAAGGCATTTGAAAAAATAGGTGCATGAGTTTTTGAAGATTAAGTAGTTACAAAATATAAATTATTTCAAGGTTTAAGTGAAGAACTGAGGGATTAATAATCTTTCCTCTCTGAAGATTTCCCAAAACGCCTGTAGAGAAGATAGGAAATCCGACAGATTTGATAGATTGCTAGATCGTCGTATTAAATACAACTTCCCATTCTGAGAATTTCTCATTACTCATTAAGGAATGCTTTCGAGTAACAGAGAGCGTCTGGAGAAAGAGACACCCAAAGTTTTGTAAAATTGTTTGTAGAATAAACAATATCCGGCCCAATAAGGTGCACTTTTAGTACCGATATAAATTACGAGAGAAATGAAAATAAAAGTTCAGGACGGAAATGCGAAATAAAACTTCCTTTTATCTAAAACCCGATCCCTTTCATTCCCATTTCTCGATCACAGAAATACTGAATTCTAATTATGCGTAAAGAGAGAAAGATAATTTCACGGTTAACCACGCGTTCGAGATGCAATTCAAAAGCAAACTGAAGAAACAAGAAAAGCCCCTTTCAGACAGAAAACAAGGAGTAATCATTATTACAAAATTTTGCAAAGTCAATAAACTTCTAAGAACAACACGGATCAAATGCGAGAAGAATTTAAAGTTGTTATGAAAGCAAACAGCTCCTTCTCTTCGAAGACAAGGAAAGAGCAAGATAGCCAAACTGAAAGGAGAAGACAGACGCGATTCTCGGAATAACCAAACCCACGGCTGATAGGTCTACAAACATTACATTTCTTTGCTCGGCGTCTCTCGATAAATTCGACACGAACGAAGTTTGTCGTGAAGAACAAAGGAATGTAGAGAAGTAGAAGGAAGGAGATGCAGGGGAGGTGTAGGAGGAGACTTAAGAGTAGGAGGAGACTTGAGAGTAGGTGGAGTCTTGAGAGTAGGAAGAGACTTAAGAAGAGGAGGAGGAGACTTAAGAAGAGGAGGAGGAGACTTAAGAAGAGGAGGAGGAGAC